GCGCGGCACGGTCGGTGTGGCCTGTTGAGAGCTGGGGGTCGGTGCAAGTTGGCGGACGGGTGTGGGCCGTGTGGCGGGGCGTGCTGGACCTGCTGGTGGCCTAAGGCCTTGGACCCTGTTGTGCGGCCTGCGGTTGGGGGCCGGAGCCGGGGGACCGAGGGTCGGGGGCTGGTGGTGGAAGTTCGCAAACCACCTACTTTTCTTTTTTTGCATGTCGCGCGCAAGGCCTACAGTTGGGGGCAGGAGCCGGGGGACTGTGGCCCGGAGGCCGGCGGCCCCCGGAGGTTCATAATGCATGGTTACTTAAACTACGTTTAACTTGCACAGAGATGTAATGCTGCTAGCATGCTACTAATGCAAAATACAGAGAATGAAAGCAAAAAAAATAGTAATAATAAATTAAAAAATCAGAACATCAATAATTATAGATCAATGATCACCATTATTTGCACACCATTATTAGTCATACAGACTTTTACTGCAATAATTACTAATTACTACACTTAATAGTAGTTTGTACAGTAAAACATAGTGATTTACTGACAAACAGTGTCAAGAATCAATAGGTTCTTCATTGTCACTAACACCAAACATGTGCAAGAGTCATACRGACTCATACGGTCATACCACCRCARTTTCCKCATCAATAGGTTCCCTGCTGACARCYGCTRTCACTTGCTGCTGTTACTAACATCAAACAAAGTCGACAACAATTCATGGTGTGATTTGAACAAGAACAAATGTACTGAATAGTAGGCAATGAAACTGCATACAATGAAAATCCAAATGAGACAAGATGGAACAATGCGAGCGAAAGTGCACAAAGTTCCAAAAACCATTATCCATGAAGTATCCTACAGGCTACAACATACAGAGTGCTACCCGAACATAGAGAGTACAGGCAGTGAGCATATGAACCTCAGACACAAGAAAAATATAGTGCCTACAAGGCTACAACTTCCTACAAGGCTACAATGGTACTCCTCTAAGGCCGCAACCCGAACATAGAGAGTACATTGAGCGAGCATATGAACCTTAAACACAAGAAAAATACAACAGTTCAAACTCCACGCCGAAGGCTCGATGGTGACGACACTGACGAGTCTGACGACGCCCGTGTAGGAGACCACTCTCTCTCTCAAACACAACTAAAATACAATGGGCCCGACAAAAATAGATATGCCCATGTTGAAGACGACTCTCTCTCTCTCTCACTCTCTCTCTCACTTCCAAGCCCACCCTCCTCCCCGCCTCCATCATCAGATCCATCACCTACCCCCCCCCCTGTCACTCCCCCTATGTCTGTGACTGTCTGCCTCTCTCTCTGATCGTCAGTCCCATCACGACGCGGGAATGCAGGGGTGAATCTCTGAAGTCGCCTAGCCTCTATTGCCAGTAGGACTGTATGAGCCTGTTCGCCCCTGTCAACCCGGGGCCGGGGTATGAATGGTCTCAGAGTCGAAGGAGTCAAATATACCTGTGCATCGAGTGCTGCTCTGCGTCTGAGTCGACGTTCTCCAAGATCAGATCCATCCGCCATGCGTGCTGGTCGTGATCCATCCGCCATGCGTGCAGGTCGAGATCCATACTCCATGCGTGCAGGTCGAGATCCATCCGGTCTATAATCGGAGTCACCTGGGTCGTCGGCCCCCGTCGACTCACAGGTCGGGATGTCAGAACTGTCATCGTGTACAATGGTGAAAGCACCTCGTCTCTTCTCTCCACGACCAGCCCCCTCGGTGTGGTTGCACCGCTCGTCCCCTGCGCTGCCGGAGTTGTCATGCACGCGTGACAATCTACGTGAACGGCCTCCATCACCTGCCTGTCCATCCTTCGGTACACCACCATGCGCTGCAGCAACCTCCTCGTCCTGAGTGTGACCATGCACAGACTCCCTGGGTGCAGTGCCTCGACGACTCGAATGTTGTGAAGACCTCTCGTGTCCGCCCTTACTCTTTGCACGCGACATACTAGCCTTCACCACCCTGGTGAAGGCAACATCTGATGTCTTCGTGGCCAGCCGTTTGCCATGCTGGTCCTCATACTCACGCATGACACCATGGTTACGACCGCCAACAGCGCCGATGGAACGTGTTCCAAAGGGCACATCTGGCATGCTGCATGCACTCCTCCCTATCGCGGTTCCCCCATCGACTGGTGCTGCTCTCCCCCGGTCGTAAAAAGACGATGCTGCCAACCTTGGCACAGGTGGGCCAGACCCCCCCGCATAAGCTCCTCCCTGTCGCTCCTCCCTACCGCCGCTCCCGGCCGCATGTGGTGCAGAATCCATGCGCGTGGCAGGTCTGTCACCAGTGCGACCGACAGCCGACGAAGCTGGTGTAATGTCCTTCTCAGGCTAAGCGTGGCTCGCGCTGGTCGGAGGTGCCCCTAAATTCCCTAATTGACCCTCTCCACCCCTGGTCGTCGACGGTGCTCCCACACAAGGATCCCCTCCAAGTCCACCAATGGCGCACCCTCTCGCGTGCCGCTGTCAGAAGACGCTCCGTCTTAAGAGTCAGCGAGGCTACGTTGTGCGGAGCTACGCCCGTCCCTAGTATGTGGCAGACCTCCATGGCGTGTCGTGGTCTCGGCCAAGCCTAAAGCGACCTCGTGGGGTTTCCCCACCCGAAATACGGATGGGGTTGCAGAGGCCATGGCAGACAATATCGTATCTCCACCGAACTCGTTAAACCCTCTGTCTGTTGCGTCGCGGGCGGGCCCACCCTGGAAGCTAGGGGGCGGCACGAGCGGCAACGATGGTGGAATAATCGTGTCAGCACCAAACATGTTGTCGGGGAGCGTGCCCATGCCCACCATGTCGCCTATGCGAGGAAGACTACCGTCGGGGCGGCCCGGGTGCTCCCACCATCGGGGCAAGGGGGCTGCACGTATGGCAATGATGGTGAAACGAGGGTGCGGATGTCGGGGAGCCAGTCGAGTGCAGAACCTATGGAGAGAAGGTCAACAGTTCGAGGAAGACCGCCGGTGGGGTGAGAGAGGCGAACATTCCCGTCTCCTAGGCCTCCCGCCGCTGGAGTGATCTCACCATCCTCCATGGTAGACACTCCTGAGATATTTGTGCGTGGTAATCCACTCGCCGCTTCGGCGCGCTGATCTACGTCCGTCATCGGCGCAGGGGGACATCCTAAGTCCATCGCCTCCATCACCTCCATGCACACGTCAGCCGCGTCCATACCACCACCGAGCACTGGACTGCGTGGAAGTGGATGTGCGTCCTGCTCTGYGCCATGAACTGGACGTGCGTCCTCCTGTGCCCCGTCGGCAACCGGATGTGTCTCCCGCGCCRARCCGRCAGGTGACGGGTGTCGCTCATCGACGGGCCCATCACTCATGGAGTCCTCGGAAACGGGGACAAGCTCAGACTCAACGGCTCGTGGACGAACGGTGGGGGGGAGGGTCCCGTGGCGGTGCCGCATACGATCGGCAATCGACTGTGTCCTCTTCGGCCCATGCCGCAATCGTACGAGGTGAGGTCTCGAGCCATGCGGGGGACTGGCCTGTCCATCCCTGCTACCTCCGCCGTCGACAACGTCCACTCCCGCATGCTGCTCGGCGTCCATAGCCATATCCGCACGTGTACGCTCCAGCGCTGCTCCGGTATCCTCGGCCTGTGGCCCGCCTGAGCCGCCTCCACCGTCGACGACGTCTAATCCTCCGCCATCACSTGCTGCATCTYGTGGTGCAACAGCACCTCTCCCACCAGTGCCACCACCCCGTCTCAACGATCGAGGGTCCCGACCGTCGCCCGCTCCATCATCACTATCGTCATCATCCGGACGGTYGTCGTCMGGCCTGCYGTCGTCGTCTCCGCCTCGYGGCATGGCGGTACAGAAGAAATMCTCGYCGTCGCTATCGGAGYTGTGATACAAAAAATCACCCTCGTCCCAATGCTGTCGAGGGAAACGAATAAGGTCGACCATCGCCTCATCACGCAGCCCASGTTGCGCACTAMGAGGACATAYCCCGCCCGCTGATCCACGTYYGCGTCCCCCACGCCCACCTCGTCCACGACCAGAACGCCCCCCACGCCCACCACGCCCGCCACGACCCCGAACACGTCCACATCGTCTCTTGTCCGATTGGACAAGGCGGCGCTTGGTGCCCATGCGAGAAACACTGCGCATCCGCTCCCTCGCCACACGCATCTCCTCCTGTGTGGCTGCCAATCTCGCTCCACTCCCCGCAACAAGCTGCTGGTCAGTGGGCAACTCGTCCTCCAAATGCTGCCAATAGTGAACCCACTTCCCGAATTGATCGGGTCTGTCGTGAGGAGCATCCTCGGTCAGAGATGGACGGTCGAGAAGACGGAGGTTCCAATGGCACCGCACGAGCTTCTCAGCCCGTCCAACCTCCAACCTGTTGCGAGTCTTCAAGTGGATGAAACTCCAACGGGACCAAGCTCTCTCACAGGGCGACGCTGTCGTCCAAACGCGCAGGATCCTCATGGCAAAGTATGCGGTGTGTGGAAACTTGCGCGACTTCGACTCCCAAAAACTGGACGGGTGCTCATAGCTCCTCATCGCTCTATCCATCGTGGCATTGTCGAAAGGCCTCTCCCTGGCATGAAACTTGTCGATCGCAGTGAGCACCTCGATGTGCTGCGGAGATCCCTCGGGGTAGCCAAACTGAACTAAAGCGGCAATCAACCGCTGCTGCATCACATCGTCGTCCGGCAGGGTGGCATCCCGAAACTCAGGATCAAGCATCATGGCCGCTATGTGCACTGGAGTACGAAACATGGTGTGCCGCCTGTCAAAAACCTCAAGGATCTCATCCTGCTCTGTTGCGGTGAGGGAGTCGCACGCGGTAAGACAGGATGCGATTATAATCTCATATCGACGCAGGACCTTGCTGATCTGTCGTGTGTCACTGTCCAGCATCTGCAGCATCTCCATGACTGGGTCCATGATATTACACAAACGCCTCAAATCCTCCCACCATGGAGGAGACCCCACACATGCTGTGATCTCGGCGGCATCCTGACCGACCTTCCGCGTGGCCCAAACAGTGTCACGCCACGGGTCCTCGGTAACGACCTGCATGAGATGGGTCTGCAGATCCAACAATCTCCTGATCATGATGACGTTGGTGCCGAAACGAGTCTCTGCGGGCAGCAACAACTTCAGCTTCGTCTTCTTCTCCAAAGCCTCGCGTGCGTGACTGTGGCGCTTGAAGAACTTCATGACGAGTCACGCCTGAGCAATGCGTGATGCCACCCATCCAATCGACCCAATGTCCTCCAAGATGAGGTCCATAACATGTGCCACACACGGAATCCAAAAAATATGTTTTACGCTTTCGTCCTCCTCGAATATCTGCATGGCGGACACGTTCACACCCGCAGAATCCGTGACAAACGCCGTGATGTCGCTGAGCTGGATATCGAGGGTCTTCAGCCTGTGCAACCATGCCTTCGCCAATGCTGGCGCGTCCTTCCTCCCCCGCATAACATCAGTGGCAAGATACGCGGGTCCCCTCTCTGTACCGACAAGGTAGTTGCACAATGTCTGACCACGGATGTTTGTCCAACCATCCATCATAATAGTGCAACCACTCTGACGCGCGGTATTGAGCACTAGTCTCACACACCGCTGCACCTCTGCATCCAGCTCGTCCAACAACGTCGTTCGAACCATGTGATAAGTCGGGGGCTTAGGTACGGGAGCCCTGGGGACCCCAGGAGGGATGATGATTGTGAACATCCGTCTGAAGCTCTCAAGCTTCACTCAGTTAAATGGCATGCCACTCTCCACGATGAACCGCATGATCGTCATGTGCCATGCACACTCTCTAGGGTCAGAATAATACGAGGTGACCGCTTGCTGCTTGTATGTGTCCCTCCCTCGTGCGAACGCACCAGAGGCACTCATGTCAAACAAACCAGTTGGACTCGCCGGTGTGGCGGCCTGTGGAAGTGGAATGTTGCGTAGCCGCTCCATAGGATCCAAATCCCCTGCGACCACACCAGCGAATGTGGGGGCAGTCTCGGCAGCAGGCGTGGGCGAAGAATCAGATAGTGGAATTGGTGGGGGCGGATCCGCGCCCTCTGCCGGCTGAGTCGATGGTGGATGCGTGTGAGCCGCAGTCCCCTGCACTTCCTGGTGCGGTGGTGGGTGCGACTGAGGGGCAGCTGAACGCGGAGGACGAGGAGGAGACCACCGCAACGTAGGTACCGCGCCTGTGCGCTGTGGCGCCCGCAAGTTAGCCGCTGCCAAAGATGGAGCTGAACGTGGAGGTCGAGGTGGAGACCACCGAGCCGTGGCTGCCGCAGCTGTGCCTCGGTCACCCGCAAGAGGAGCTCCTGCTGCAGCCGATGCTCTGGCCGCGGTAGTCGTGAACATAGGATGCAATCCAACCGACGGAGAGACACGGTGGCCCTCGAGCGACGCAGATGGTGGTCTCGTTGCCTCTACCGACGACACCGCGGTCCCTCCAAGTACCGGCGGTGGGGCTGCACCGGCCGACGGTCCTCCAACCACAGGTGCCAGAACCGGTGCACCAACTGCACCGCGAGACGGCCCTACCTCACTAGCAAGCGACCGGCGAGGCTCCGAGTCCTCTGGGAATAAAAGTGTCGGCCACTCGAATGCCGGAGCGCCAGGAGGGAGCCTCTTCAACTCCTCGATCGAGGCAACAAAGTCCTTCGGACACTTGTCCATGTTCTTCGCCCATATGGTATAATACACAGCAGGGGTCCCCGCCGGGCATCTGAACTCCTTGCTTTTGAAGAAATGTTCCTTCGCTTCTCTACTGCCCCCACAAATGGATTTCCCGCACAATCTGCAGACACATCGTCGACCACTCTTCCTCCCCACCGCCGTCTCGGGGTACAAGTATCGGCCACGTGCAACAAAATGCCACACAGGGTCATCGCGTTWGGCATCCACACCAGCATCAATCTTGAATGKAGAGTCGAAAGTCTTCGASTTGTGTCCCTTTCTTGTAYCACTCTCACTTGTTGYSGCGGCCTGGTCGGGGGCCACCTGCTCCTTGCCAGTGTTCTACGTCATGATGTCACAACCGCAGCGTGTGACAACAAAGAGTCGCGAAGCGCACTTGCGTCACGATAGACAGCAGTGGCTTCGAATAAATGAATCGATGATGAAGCACAACCCATACAAAACCGAGCCGTTGGCCCCTGGTTACATTGTTACACCACCCATACACCACCCCTGCCCCCATTCACCAACCCATCCCTGTGGGGCCGTACGGCCACACGACAATACGAGCATGTCTAGTCATTAGTTGGAAAAAGAAGAAAAAAAAAATTAAAAACCATTTACATTCTTGACGGCAAAAAAAAAAAAAAAAAGGAACACTACAAACTTGGTAAGTTAGTACAAAGTACTTCCTCCCGCTTTCGCACCCCTTGCGGCCCTTAAGGACCTGCGGGCGGCGACGCTGCCGGCACCCACCCCCATATACCAACCTATCCCCGTAGGGCCGTAGGGTCATATCATGGCCCATATGAGCATGTCCTCTCATTACTCGAGCAAAAAAAGACAGAAAAACAGACCATTTACATTATTT